TGCCTGGGCTAGAGTGCCATGGCATCAGCCTAGCTCACAGCAACCTCAAACTCCTGGGCTCAAACAATCCTTCTGCTTCAGCCTCCTGAGTAGCTGGGACTACAAGCATGCACCACCATGCCCTTCTAATTTTTTCTATATATTTTTAGTTGTCCAGCTAATTTCTTTCTATGTTTTAGTAGAGATGGGGGTCTCACTCTTGCTCAGGCTGGTCTCGAACTCCTGAACTTAACCAATCCTCCCACCTCGGCCTCCTAGAGTGCTAGGATTACAGGTGTGAGCCACCGCACCCAACCTCCTTGCTTCTTTTACACATAAACACTGGCTTTGGGTAATGTTGCTGGATTCTTAAAGATTGTGTTTGTCTCATTTAAAATGATCAATAGTGGTCCAAAGCCATGTGACTGGGGAGCAGAAGCCTGAGGTTAGTAATTCCAAGCTAAGGCCACCCTTGAGCCTGCAGAGGGAGGTCATTGAAGGCCCAGATGATTCTTCCTGGGGAGCCTCCCCTGCAGGTGTCCCAGCTGCTCACACTGACCTTGGGAGGAGCCCTTTATACTGAAAGAAGCTGCAGAGCTCTGGAAAACTGGAGATGCACACCTACATGGGACTGGGGGAGGGGGAGAGGGTGAAGCCCTTTCTCATTTTTTTTTTTTTTTTTGAGACAGAGTCATGCTCTGTCTTCCCAGGTAGAGGGCAGTGGCATGATCATGGTTTACTGTAACCTCAAACTCCTGGCCTCAAGCACTTCTCCTGCCTAAGCCTCCTGAGTAGCTGGAATTACAGGTGTACCCCCTCCCAGAGTGCTGGGATTGCAGGTGTGAGCCACCATGCCCAGCTCTTAGAATGATTTTATATGTAGAAATCTTAAAAGTAGACAAACTGGGTGCAGTGGCATGTGCCTACAGCTCTAGCTATTGGGGTAGAGGGCTGAGGCAGGAGGATCGCTTGAGCTCAGGAGTTTGAGGCTGCAGTTAGCTATGATTGTACCTGTGAATAGCCACTGTATTCCAGACTGGGCAACATAGTAAGACCCCATCTCTTTTTTTTAAAAGATACATTTAAAAAATTAAATTTTTTAAAAGGAGCCAGGCGTGGTGGCTCGTGCCTATAATCCTAGCACTCTGGGAGGCCGAGGCTGGAGGATTGCCTGAGGTCAGGAGTTCGAGACCAGCCTGAGCAA